CCAGGACTCACCTTTGATGAGCATGTTAGTTGTGAGTGTAGACCATGATGCAATCACCTTCCAAAAGCCCTGCCTCTGAGCACATGACAGCCTTGGGAGACAGTCTAGATCTAAACTATAATAATAATTTTTAATGCAACACTATTACAAACTCCTGTCTAATGTTTGCCAAGCTGTCTGGATGACCTTTATGCTTATCTCTATCAATTTTTCTGCCTTAGATTTTAAAGTCCCAGAGGTAAGATATTAACCAATTTATTTTACTTTACACACTAAGAATACTTCATACACACACATCAGTGCCTCACATATTTATTGAAGATTACTACCACTGATCACTATCTTCATATGTAAAGATATAAGTTTGAGTGATTTAGGAGTCTGAGGTGAAATGATTATACTCTGTTGTTCTACATTCTAAATTATTTTTAAAGTGTAAAAAAAATTCAGAAGCATTTATTAACCAATGTTCCTAGCTAAAAAACACAAAAACTAGAATCGCAACATTTTTTACTAACATATAAACTGATCCTAGAAAATTATAAATTAGATAACCACCAAATAAAAAAGCTTATAATTTAAATGTTATTTTATTTGCACATTTGGCCTCTATGGCCAAAGAACATAGAAGAAAATATTTCTTTTCACTTTATCCTTTTTTTACTAACACCTAAATATATACAAAATATTTGTGAAAATAAATGTTAAAATCAGATAAATGTGACACCTATTATGTATAAGCCTACATCTCCTTTACCTCTATATTTGTGTGTTTTATGACCCTTCTAATATAAAAGAGATTATTTTAAAAAAAGATGTTCAGAAATCAACATTTTTACTTACATGCACCAGTAAAGACATTAGTTTGTAGCACATTTTTAAAAATTATTTTGTTCCTGAGGTGGAGTCTTGCTATGTTGTCTAAACTATTCTTGAACAAGTGGTCTTCCTGCCTCAACTTCCCAAGAGGCTGGGACTATAGTCATGCACCACCAAAAGAATACTTGCAAAACTTCTGAATTTTACAATTGTCTTCTCCTTTTCTTATTGCATTATTCCATATAAGATAGGAAACAATTAGTCTGGCTAGCTCTGTCTTGATTCTTCCTTTCCACTGTCTACTTAGTAAGTATGATACAATCAAAGGTTTCGGTGGTATCCATATCAGTCAATCCCTGTGCACATTGCTCATTCCCGCCCGCAACCGGGTCATCTCCTAACTGCTACTGAGCTGGACATAAATCAGGTCTACAGAGAAAGAAGAGTCACACATGTGGAAATCAGTTATCTGGGATTAAAGACAGTGGTATCTGGTAAGACTTTCAGAAACTACAAGGAGTTCAAAAAGAAGAATGATGAGCTTCTTAATACTTGCCCTTTCTCACAGTATAAAAAAAAAGAATCTCTGGCAGTTTTTTCAGTATTTGTCAAAAGTTCCACCATAAAGTGCTGTGAGACTAGAACAAATCTCCTAATATTTTTATGTTATTTTTCTATAACAACGGCACATTGATAATTAAATATAATATGGCACATTGATAATTAAAAAGTTGTAGACAACATAATTGAATGTACTGTACTCTCTGCAAAGCTTAAAACAGCCACAAGTTTACTACCAAGGTGCATCCTTTTGTAAGCTAATGCTGCCAAATAAACACTTAAAATGTACTTTTCAGCCCAGACATGGAAGGCCGTAACACAAAACACTGCATGATTCCTCCTCCCTCACACTTCCAGCCAGGCTAACACTCTTAACACAGGTCATATTCCTTCTGTGGCCCCTCCACACCGAAGGTCACTGGAAGCGCTCCTCCACAGAGCTGCGGGCCTTCTAACAACAACCAGGACTAGGAAAGGCTGTGAAGTGGGGGAAGGGCAGGGCCCACAACCTCCGGTGGTACCTCCCAGCTGACCAGCCAGCAGGTGAGGAACTCAGTACTGCACAAGCCCTGTCTCTGCTGCCTAACGCCTCACACTTTCATCAGCAGAGGTTCCTTGGACACCCTCCACCTCCCAAAGCAAGACAATTCTTTGGAACAAGTAAGAGACTTGATATTGGTTACATAAAGACAAATGTCAACAGAAGAGTTCTGCAAAATGGAAAGAGTAGCAAAGAGGAAGAAAACAGAAAGCCAGTCTGAGAAGACTCTTACCTCAACCTTCACTAAGAGCAGGGAGAAAGATTAAGAAATAGCTTATTTATCTTGAAAGTGAGAGGTAAATATTATCATTATATAATAGTATTTTAGTTCACAATAGTATAAAATGTTGGTAATATCTGACTATCACAGTATATAGCATCATGTGTACAGAGATGCAGACCAACAAACCAAAACCATTTCACTGGCTACCAGCAACCCATTTCCTTTGGTTGTCAGTAAAATGTTTTGAAATCCTTACATAGAAAAACTTTTAGAAATTTTATTTTTCAAATAAGCAGAAGTCAGATAATGCCCACTGGCTGCTCCCTTCTGTACTGTACACTTATTTTTGATTCCTATACATAAAACATTTTCCTTCTACTGCCTTTAAATAAAGTATATGTTATTCGTCTGCTTCTCAGTTTCAAGTCTAAATATTTCTTAAGATTATCTAATCAAATATTGTACCACTAATATTAAAAAGAAAATTGAACAAATCCCCCCATTAATCTCAATATATTTTACCTCTAGGAAATCATTAATAAATAAATTAGGTTATTTGGAGGTAAATCCTCTATTTTCACTAATTTGGATGTGAATGATGGCTTCTTCTATGCCTTACTAGATAACAATTCCCTTTCCTTCTGAGAAAACTAGGCAGTAATCTCTTCTGGGAGCCTCTAGGTCCCAAGCCCCTAAGTACTGTGAAATAAATTACAGTGGGAATTCTGTGTGAGAACAAGATTATAACAAGGAATTGGAACAGGATCCCTAAGTCAGATCCTATTTATGAACTGTAATAATTTCAACCAGACTCAACAAAAGGGCAGGATGAAAAGGTTATCACTGGCCACCTGCCTGACAATTTATCTGTATTGTTGTCCCTCAAAGGTCTTTTACACCACTCTGAAATACTCATCACAATTTGTGACATGTCCCTCTGACATCTCAAAAAACTTATTGAGTCCTCTCATACACTTTCCTGAAATAACCAGTTTGTGATTTAAAATACTGCCTTAGTTTTTTTTACTCAACATGTACTAAACAATAGTCTTAAAGTGAACTTGTTTGGAAAACCAAATCCTAGATATTAAAGAAAGAATTTTAATATATAAATTCTGGATCATTCTAAGCACAATAGTTTTCTTTCTCAATCTGGTTTCCTACAATTTTATCTCTATTTTGTCTCCAGTAATGTCACTACTTTAAGAACCAAATTAAAAACAATTATGGGAGAATCTATCCCTGTTTCTGTTCTTCCTCAGTACTTTTCAGAAATCATTTAGTGGAGCTGTATGGGTACCAGTTAACATGGGATTGAGAGTCATATAAATTTAGACCCAAATTCTTGTCTAAATCACATAACTTCAGACATTTTTCTCTAAGTTACACTTTTTTTCTTTATTTAACAGGGAGAGTAATATCTACCCAAGATCATCTGCACTCAAAATGAGATAATGTATCCGAAGCACAGGGAACAGAGACAGATATATATTTATTGCTCAATACCTAATAGAGAGAGAGAAAGAGAAAGAGAGAGAGATAGGGAAGTGAAGGAAAACATCCTTAATTCCACCACCACAGTAATACAAACATACATTTCTTTGTATTTTATGCCCAAATAAAACATATTTTAACATCATAATTTTAAAATACAGTTTTATTATTTTTCTATAATTACTTCCATATATTATCATTCAGGGATCATAATTACCCTTTTACTTTGTCACATGAGATTCTGTAAAGTAGATTATAATTTAATCACTAAATTTCTTCTAAGTATTTGAGGAATTTTGCTATTACATACAATGGTACAATAGCATTTTCATGAATATAGCTTTTTCATTCAGTGAGAGTCTTTCCTTAAGATGAATTTCCAAAGCAGGCTTTTTAGGTAAAGCATGAGCTCTTTCATCATTTAGTTTTGTCAAAGTGCCTTGCAGGGCTTTACGCAATTTGCAGTTCCTCCTCCAAAGTCATACACTTTATTTTTATTTTTTTATTGAAATGGGTCTTGCTTGTTTGTTTTCAAAGACAGAGTCTCACTCTGTAATTCACACTAGCCTTGAACTCAACTATGGAGCCAGGCTGGCCTTGAACTCACGGTGATCTTCCTGCCTCAGCCTCCTGAGTGCTAGAATTACAGGCATGCACTATCACATCCAGCTAAGGGTCTCACTGTTTTGCCCATGCTGGCCTCACACTCATCATCCTCCTGCCTCATTGTCTTTCAGACTCCCAAGTAACTGAGTTTACAGGTACACTGTCACATGCCGGCTAAATGTCATAAACATTATTATAATGTCCTTGGGGCTGGGGATTTAGCTCAGCGGCAAAGGGCCTGCCTGGCAAGCGCAAGGTCGTGAGTTCGGTTCCTGGTACCAGAGAAAAAACAACAAAAAAAAAAGTAAACATTATAATGTCCTTTTCAAGATCCAGTACTCATACTAATATCTTCCATTTGCTAAGCACTTACCACATGCCAAGCACTAGTCTAAGGGCTTTATATATATTACTTCATCATCCTCACAACACATGTCTGGTGTAACTACCATTAATTACCCTCTTTTGCAGATGAAGAAGTTAAGGTTAAGAAAATTTAAAAGGCATGTCCAAGGTCACACAGCAGCTAAGTGATGGTCCCGTGGACTCAAATTCAGATGCTATCTAATGCCAGCCACAGTGCTCTTAAACACTTGGCTATGTTGCTGCCTTACTCCCCAACCCAGTAAGAGTAGATGGAAAAATATATTTTACTAATGTTTCAAACTGCAGTTTGTTGATCACTACTAAGGCTGATTATTTTTTCATGAGTTTGTTAAAAAAAAAAAAAAAACCTCCATTTTCTCCCTATGTTACTTGTTCACAAGCAACTTCTATAAAATGGTGGGACTCTGTTCCCTGTATATTTCTTATTATTTGGATGTGTCTGCACAGCCTTTTCCCAAGATGCTCTGGTCCCACCTTGATGATTTCACTGAGATCCCAATTCTTCAGAGAAGGTGCCTCTTCTTCTTCTTCCAGCCCAACAGGAGTAAAAAACACATTTTCTACAGTTATGTCCATGTCTTCACTCACTCCTGTGGTGTGACTCTTTGCTGTCTCTTTGCTGGAATCCTCTATCATGAGTGAGAACACAGACCCAATGACCCCTTTGAGGGCTGCAGACCACAATAACCTTTGTAACTGAACAAATTTACCAAGGTCTTTGAAACTCAATCCCACTGCCCCATGCCCTACTGCACCCTTTCTCTCCCTCTCTTTAAATTTCCTTTCTGTTAAGATAGACTGAAATGTGTAAGGTATTTTGTGAACATGTAATCCAAACAAAACATCCTTAAAACCCCATCTACAGTTTACTAAGTTTAAAAACTAGATTTACATAATAAATTTTCCAACATGCTCCCTTACCTGCACTATGTCGTGAAATACATCCAAGTCTCCAGGCTGCAGCCTCCTTGACTCCAGGGTCAAAGTTTTCCAAGCAAATCACCAGTGCATCCAGTAGTCCACAGTCAACTACGGCCTGAGCTCACTGGGGAGATTGTTTACCAACCGCTCTCAACACACAGCAGTGCTACCAGGCTGAGAGAGACCAAATCCAAGAGGAACTGTGCACTCACATACACAAAATCTAAAGAACAACAAAAGGAACATTAAAATGACATTAATATAAATAAAGCTCAATTGTTTTTGAATACAAAAGGTGAAAAATATCCTGCAAAATCATTTTGATTATTTTATGATCACCCATTGCTTCTGCTCAGCAATTAAATTGCAAACCAGGTGAGTTTTAAATTACATTTCAAATGTTTTACTCTGAAGCATGCCTTTAAGAATTCTGTAGAGGGGCTGGAGATTTAGCTTAGTGGTATAGCGCCTCCCTGGCAAGCACAAGGTTGTGAGTTCGATTCCTGGTACCAGAAAAAAATAAAACAAAAAAATTCTGTAGAATAAAAGTAAATATTGTACTTTCCATAAATTCGTAAAGTAATGAGACTGTATGTGCCTGACCCATGGGCCTCTTGGATTGTTAGTATGTGTAACTAAGTTCTTTGTTGACTGACTAACCCAGTACCTTTACTTGTCCTTGGTCCCTAAGCGTGATTTCATGACCTCAACTAACTTTCTGGTGTTCCAAATTATTGCAAAATTACCATGCTGGGGCAGAGGATATAGCTCAGCGGTGCAGTGCCTGCCTGGCAAGTGTGAGGTCCAGAGTTTGATTTCCGGTACCCCCCACCCCCACAAATAACCACCATGTTCCAAGATGCACTTACCAATCATCACATAAAGGCAAAACATTCATTAATTATTTTCAAACTTGTCTTGACAAGCAAATAAGCTAAACAATGGGATGTAAGTTGTCTGTATTCACTAGAAATAGTTTTTTTAAAAAAGAAAAGCAAATTGACATTCTGTAAATTTTTAAAACTGCTTCATATTTATATTTTTATATGCAAACTCTATATAAACATAAACATATATGTTCTATATGTAGAACATATCTATTTCTATATGTATAGAAATTATAAATTTTTAGACATATTTCTAAATTTATAGGCTATATATATATTTCTATGTAATAGAAATATATAAACAACTTATAGAAATATATAAATTATATACATATATGTAAGTTCTATATATAAATTTTCTATATATAAACTTATTTATAAATTTCTTAAGAAATGAGAAACTGAAACTGACATAAAAGCCTAATGTGTTTCTCTTCCTACTGCTATAAACATTAAATTATACAAATAATTTAGTTATAACACTGTTGTTTTATGGTTAAAATGACACAGTAAGTAATAATCTCATAACTCTTCTATTAATAAAACCCAATTAATCTTCTACTTTACATTCTGAGTTTCTATTTCTTTACAGTGACTACTAAAAAATGACTATGTTTTAACACCTGCTTTGAAAGCCTTCTACTTACTTACGCTAAAACAGTGATATAATAAAAATTACAGGAGTAAAAGAAAACTCAGGGTTTTTTTTAAACATATTATATCTATAAAATTAGGGCCAGGGATGTAGCTCAGTGGCACAAGTGCCTGCCTGGCAAGAGCAACATCCTGAGTTCGAGTCCCGGTACAAAAAAAAAAATTGAGGTATGTTGCTAATGTAAGAAATATGTTATAATAGCACTAATGTTTTCATGTGATATGTTTTCTTTAGTTTTTGAAATTATGGCAGTAACCCAATTTCTACTAACTTATTGTAAAAAAAAAAAAAGAGGGTAAAGTATTCAAGTAGCTTTCCATATAATTGTATAAAAATAATGATAACACATTTATTGTCAATACTTGAAGCTAATTTGACCTTTTATTCTGCAGAATTGTCAAATTTACACTTTACAGGTTTTAGTAGTCACTACAGTACCTGTACTTCACACTTTCTAATTCTCTGTCTCTTATTTTCTACGTTCCCCAAATTTCTAATGCTCCTCTCTCCTATTCCTCACCAAAAGAACTTCCTTTTAAAAAAGAAAGAAAGTAAAATCATGGGACTTTGTGCTTCATAAAGAAAACATTAAACCTCCTGTGAGAAATGACTTATGGACTGGTAGGGGAAGGGGACAGAAGCTTGTGAGTCATGCTTTGCATTTTCATTACCTCCTCACTTTTCTGCCTAGTATATTTTGTTTCTTTACAACTTATAGATGTATATTCATATATGGAAAACTTCTATGTGGGACCAAAAAAACAGATCCTGCTGTCAAAGAGAAGAGCTAAGAATCCAGGAAGAAGAATGTCTAACACCATTTTATAAAGAAAAAACATCCACAACAAAAATGAAATTTTTGGGATTCCTTGTGGAGACATTTGTGACTGTCCAATCGATCAAAAAATAAAGCTTTACACATTCAGGATTTACTTCTGTAATTCTGGTAAAATACATCAATCATAACAATTTACTGTTTTAAAGTGTACAATTTAATGGGATTTAATACATTCATAAGGTTGTACATCACCACTATCTTGTTCCAGTATATTTTCATCACACCTCCAAGAAATCCCATATATATTAAATTATCCTTCCTTATTCTGCTTCTTCCCCCTAACCCCTGGCAATCTCCAATCCACTCCTGTCTCTATGGCTTTCTGTATTCTACTTATTTCATCTAAGCAGTATCTTAGAACATGTGTCCTTTTAAGTCTTTCACTTGGCATACTATTTTTTAAAAGTCATTCATGTTGTAGCATTTTTCAGAACATTACTCTTTGTTATGGTTTGTGTCTAGATGTCCCCCCAAAGCCTCATGCTGTCATGGAGATGGCTGAATAGTCTAGAGCTTGTGATTCATTGTCCAATGTGGGTTTGAGTGCTGCACCCACCCTAGGGTGGGTAGCTTACATACAATATAAGGTACAGAAAAAGTCTTCTCTCTATTCCTCCCTTTTTGCTCTTGCTGCTTTTACTGTTTTCCACTGCCATGAACTGTTGCCCTCTGCCATGTGCCACTCTGCCTTGGAGCCAGCTGAACATGGACTGAAACTTTCACAAATTGTGAGCTATATAAACCTTTCCTTAACTTTGGGCATTGGGTAGTTTGTCTCAGAAACAACAGAAAAGTAGCCAAGACAGAATTTGGTACCAGAGAAGTGGGATCATTGCCGTAACTGTATCTAACCATGTGGTTCAAGAGCCTTTGGGGATGGCTTGTGGGAAGAGTTTGGAAAGGTTCAGAGACGTGGCCTGAAAGAGTAGAGCTAGAACACCTTAGATTGTTCTTTATGGGAGATTCTGGTCAGACCTCAGCAGACCAGAAGGCTGATAGCAATCCTGCCAGTAAGGACCAGATTCAGGAGGTTTCTGCTGGGAAGAAGGACTGCATTGGTTTTTGGACTCCAGACAATGTTATGGCTTGGCAGAAAGTTTGTCTGCATTTTGCTCATGTCCAGAGACATTGCCAGAGACTGAGATAGAGGGTGGCAGACTAATCAATCTGGCAAAAAGTATTTCAAGACAGTCTAATGTTGAGGTGCTGGTACAGCTATTGTTGGGAACTTTTAGCCAGATTTATGTTAAGAATTAAGAGCAAAGAGCCCAGCAAAATGAATTAAAATGTCGTGCGTTTGGCCAGAAAGGAAGCTCCAATAAAGCTATGGACTGAAAAGATAGAACCGAGGAGATCTCCAATGTTGAGAGGGAACAAGAGAACAGAAAAGATGGTATAAAGGCATCACAAGAAGCAGCAAGTCTCCACCCTCTGCAGCCTCAAAACTGCAAACTGTGACTGTGCTTTGAGAAGAAAGCCACAGGGTGTCATGTTCCAGGATGGCAGTGGCGGCCACACCATGTGCCAAAATGGCAGCAGCATGGAGAACTGTTCCTCAGAACTGGATTCTGAGTGCTCAGCAATCCAGGCACTTGAACCCAACAGTCAAGAGGGGAAGAAGACTGGCTACTGCTCCAGTTGGCAGCAAGCCCTAGCAGCATCCACATGACCACTGGTTTTAGGTTCATGCAGAAGACAAGAGTTATAGGGTTAAGAAAGCTTCCACCAAGATTTCAAAAGGGCCTGAAGGCCAGCCAGTGTGCTCCTGAGAGGGTAATATGTGAAGCTGTGAATGAGAAGCTAAAGGTGCAGTGGAGACCCCACAAGGTTTGAAAACGTGGATCGGATCATCTAAGGAAAGTTGCAAGGATGAAGCAAAGCAGGCCTAAGAGAGAAGCTATAGGAACTACCAGAAGTGCCATAGGGGCAGAGCCATGCAAGGTCTTTGGAGCTCAAAATTTACCAGATTGCTTTAGATATTCCACATGGAACTATAGGACTTAATGTTTGCCCTACTAGATGTTGGACTTGCTTTGGTCCCATTCCTTTGTATCCCCATTTGTAACTTTTGGAATGGAAATGTTTATTTGTGCCATTGAGTGTGTTGAAAGTACAGGGGTTTCATTTGTACAGGGGCTCACAGCTCAGAATTTGCCTTAGATCTCGGAGACTTGGGACTTAAGACTTTTCAGCAAGGCTGAAACTTTTAGGACTTTAGTAACTCTTAGAGATGGATTAAAATGCCATTTGCATAAAGGGGTGTGCATGAATCTTTGGGGGGCTAGGGGTGGAATGTTATGGTTTGTGTCTGGATGCCCCCCAAAACTTCATGCAGTCATGGAGGTGGTTGAATTTAGAGTTTGTGATTGATTCATTGTTTAGTGCTGGGATTATGGGTGTGAGTGCTGCAGGATCCTTAAACAGACAGTGGCACTGTATAGTAATGCAGAATAGTACTACATAGGAAGGAAATTTATTAGTGTACTTTAAACAATACCTAAAAAGAATTCACATGCTTGTTTACTTAGTAAAAACTGCTTTATCAAACCTTCCGTTAAGCACATTCTCTACATCTACCCCTTGCTTCAAGGCTGTTTCTCAGTACAGTACTAAAGTTCATCTGCATCTAAGATTACCAAAAGCAACTATTTGTTTGGCTAGGAGCCCTATCGTCTTCCCCAAGACAGAGCCTACAGCTTTCTTTAAAATTCCCAAATACAAAAATGCTGCTTAGTATTCCCTGAAAATAATTCCCTAAAAATGTTTCAATCAATTATCTCTTTACATTAATAATAGACAAAAGTTGCCTATCGGTCCCAATACAAATACACTAAAAATATTAT